CAAGACTAGCCATGGATTTCTGGTCGATACCTATTACAAATAAAGCTCCCTCAGGTTCTTCTTTCCTGTAAAAGACATCCCATTTTTCCATGGCCAGCTCAGAATTTTGACCGCCAAGAATTTCCAGTATACTCTTTTCCTTTTCCTCCGTCTAGCTTCTCCTTCCTCATTTTTCGGGGTTTCTTTTGAAATTCCCTTACCTTCGAGGTTGATTTCGCCGACGTGTTCGTCTTCGGAATATCTGGCTTGGCGTTGTCACCCTTACTCGCAGGATTCTCACTTGAGATTCCTTTGAGTGAAGTATGGCTTGGCTTCGACTGTGTATTAGAAGACGGGGAGCTCTTTTTCTTCTTAGGTTTATTCTCAGTTGTCAACTCCTCGGGAGACCTGATCCTTTTTGCCTCAGATCTTGTGAGAGAGTCCGATTTTTCCTTTGGAGTGTCGTGGGATTGACTAACTATGATTTCTTGAAGCATCTTTTTCAACATCCTCCTCTGTGCTCCAGAAAGTCTTTTCTTAGTAATAGGTAGTTTAGCTATGCTATCAATCACCTTTTTCACCATTTGCTCTACTTCATCCTTTTTGGGATTTGCTATAATGGTATTATTATTATCATCTGAGGAACCCTCACCTATATTTAAAGGCTGAGGTAGCTTAGAGCTCTCTCCGAGTACATCCTTCTCTTGCACCCCTATATTTTTGCCAGCGGCATGCTGTACACTTGACGCATTGTCCGCCACGGAGGCCAAGGTACCCACCTCCGTAGTAGTATTTTGCTCACGATTGCAGGATGACGACGACACGTGACTCGCGAGTAGATCAACACTTGCCGCCGGTACTACATTTATTAAGAAATTGAATTTAACTATTTTTTTGTTAGAAGTTTTCTGCGACTTTAACCTCCGCCTGAGGGTAGAGGGTTGCATGGAGGAAAATATCAGCTTTCCAGCAATATAAATTTTTCTTCGTAAATATAATTTTTAATTATCGAATTGTCATTAACCTTCCCCACATAGTTGCCCAATATGCATTGTGACTTATTATTTTATATTTATTGTGTTTCTTATTTTCTTTGTGTGTATTTAACCCTCTCATGCCCGATGTTGCGTATATGCAACATTGTGTTTATGAGTGTCTAAATACCGTTATTTTTAATATATTTTTTTGAAACATTCGAAAAAATGTTGCTTCATGTGTTGTTTAAGATCTCAGCTAATTGGTTGGTAGTCATCTCTGCACGTTTTCAGTTAGAAGCTATTCGCCCGTGAGCATAGTTGACAATTTCTTTTTACAAAAAAAAAAAAAAAAAAAAAAATTGTTTAAAAAAAGTGTTAAAAAACATTAATATAATTAATTCATCCTAAAACCAAGTTCTGCAACTAAATAATAAAAGGTAAGTGAGTAACTTAAAAAAAACCTAGCATTAAAATATTATTTATTTTGTCTATAATAATTTTGTAAATGTTGTGTCGCGTATATGCAACATTGGTCTATTACAGACGGAGAAATGAAGCATATACCGCTCATAAATTTCCAATTGGAAATTGCTACAGAGCTTTTAAACGCAAGTCAAACTACAGTTGTCGCAAATGAATTCAGGAATTTCATCATCAGCTCCGTCATCACCAGCGCCATCAACACCAGCTCCATCATAACCAGCTTCAATAACAGCAGCTCCAGTATCACCAGCTCCATCATCACCAGCTCTTTCTACGGCTTCTGAATCAAACCCCTATAAAAGAGCATATGTTGCAGAGCCTGCAAAATCCCTACGATTTAGTGGTTATAATCATTGGCCAGAATTGGCCACAAGGGGCAGATGTGGACTATGCAGCACTGGATTTCCAAGCTAAAAATGCAGCAAATGCAATGTGCACTTGTGCTCCAATCCTCAAAAAAATTGTTTTGTATCCTACCATACATAAATTGAAATAAACGGCATTTAAAAAAATCAACTTGTATTTAAATTTATAACACTATTGCCCAATGTTGCCTATACTTAACATCCTGTAGCTTTTGAACCAGGACACCTAGGACATTGAAATACTGAGGTCAACTCTATAATATATGTCTACTCAAATTTTTGCTCATCCATTTTAATTGGGGCAAAACCTCAATATAAACTATCTAATTTTTAAATAACTTGACTTCATATAGGACCTACGACCAATTACGGGCCTCTCCAGAAAAATTTCGTAGAGTGATTCATATGTATGTACACAAAACATATTTGTGTAGAATTTTATCAAGATAGCTCTATTTGACAATGAAATATGTGAGTTTATATGGTTTTCGGAAGAGGGCCTTATATGAGAGCTATGACCAATAATGGACCGATCCGGGGAAAAATTATTAGAATGATTTATACGTACACAAAACATATTCAAGTTGAATTTTATACCGATAGCTTTATTTATCAATGAAACATATGCGTTTAAATGATTTTCGGAAGTGGACCCTATATGGGAGCTATCACCAATTATGGTCCTACCAGAAAAAAATTTCGTAGAGTGATTCATATATACACGAAACATATTTGTGTCGAATTTTATAAAGATACCTTTATTTGACAATTAAATATGTGCGTTTAAGTGATTTTCGGAAGTGGGCTTATGACTAATAATGGACCGATCCGAAAAGAAATTTGGTAGAATGATTTGTGTTTACACAAAACATATTCATTTTATCAAAAAAGCTTTATTTGTCAATGAAATATGTGCGTTTAGGTGATTTTTGGAAGTGGACCTTACATGGGAGCTATGACCGATTGTGGACCGACTGAGATCTACGATCTATTCATATTATATTTGTATGTACAAAATTTTGTGCTGATACCGATATATTTGAGGGAGTTATTAACGATAAACTTTTATCCGGCAATATACACCTTTGTATGGGGGCTATGGGAAATATTGGAGCAATTGTTATGAATTTGAACATACTTGATCCCTGGCACAAAATAATAATGTGTGACAAAATTCATAGAAATACCTTTGGTAGTTTCTGAGGAAACTACTTAAGAATTGGGAAAAAACATATTTTTTTCGAGGTAGTCTGAAATTGTACCGGATAATAAGGAATGTGTTGGGTGAATTTCATGAATTTTTATTGCTTCGTTAACGTGAGCGTGTTTTACACAGACAGACAGACGGACATAGCTAAATCGACTCAGAATTGCATAAGGGTCAAGAATATATATACTTTGTTGGGTCTCAGATGAATATTTCTTGGTGTTACACACGGAATGACAAAGTTATATATGCCCTTTATCACCACTGATGGTGGTGGAGGGTATAAAAATATATCTTCAACATTGAAAAAATAATTTTTTTTTCGATTTTTCTGAATTCTTTAAACATCACTTCCTCAAAAGGTGAAAAAATCAATTAGTGCTACTATTGAAGTGGTGGTAACTGTTATTCTTTTGGAAGCACTGTTTAGGCGTAGTTATTAAAAAGAATTTATAATGAATGTAATTTTGAATTTAACTACTTTTGTTGATTTATTAGTTAAATTATAAACATTGTTGCATTGTTTGGCAACACTTTGTTTTTAATTAGGCTGAAAACCTGACTGCTGTAATTAGTATAGATACAAAAGTGAGAGTTAGATTTTGCTTTTGTTGTATTAAATAAAGAAGTCGTTGATCAGCAGCAGCAGGAGTCAGCCATATCTTGATCCCAATAAATAACAAATTGCATTTAATAAAGTATTAAATGTTAAATTCTTCAAGAATACTTACCAACAACAACTACTGTGGAGTTTATTGTGCAGTGTATAGGTGCGTGATTGTGAAATAAAGTTGGTGATTGCATTTATCAATATTATATAACATATATACACTTCAACTCCAACATAAACAGGTGTCTAAGATAAATAAAGGATATTCACCACATGTATCTATGGCAAACAGGAGTTTACCACTGCTAATATTAGCAAAGGCACCAACCACCAGTTATAATCAGTGGCCCTTAATCTTTTTATACAAAGAGAAACAGAGACCAAAACAAATCACACAAATAAATGACAAGTGTCAAAAAATGTAATGTGATTGATTGTTTTTTTTTTTTGCATACAAGTGTATACGTTTATTGAATTTTGCACAATAACATTAAAGGTAAATTAAAACAAAGCCAACTTTTACAACAATACAATTATTGAAAATAATAAATAAAAATTACTGGCTGAATTACCTACAGTGTAGTGTAGATGTTTGTTGCAAAATAAATAAATATAAAGAAAGCAACATTTTGTACAAGAGGCTGTACCAACTACAACAACAAGTGGCTCAGCGAATTGTTAACCAATTTTTATGAGAAAAAAAGGTAAAGTTGGTGCAAAATATTTCAATTAACAAATGGCTCCACAGGAGGATGATGTTAACGAGGCAAATTACGTTGATGCTGATGCAGAGTCATTACAGAGAATGACTGAGATGAAAACGTCAACGGCCAGTGCTAAAGGTAATATGAGCAGAATAAAAGCACTTATTACCAAAAAAAGGTGGAATTTTGTCAACAGATGATCTACAGTGTCGTCTTGAAATTTTAGAGCAGTACTTCAAGCAGTGTCTGAGGGTGCAGGCTAATATAGAGAGGGTCTGTACTGATACCACAAGTAACGTAGCTGCAATTACGGAAATTGAAGATATTTATGTGTCTACAAAAACAAAAATTATGAATATCTTAACAAAGCTGCGGACATCAGTAGCAGATGTTAGTGTACTCAATACGTCATCACTAGTAGCAGGCGCTAGACTTCGTCGGGAAGTCAAATTACCGACATTTTTAGGGAACTATAGTGATTTTCCAAAATTTATTTCGCTTTTTAATAAAATTATCCACCAAGATGAATTGCTGGACAATTGCGAGCGTTTTTTAATTCTGAAAGAGCACTTAGGCTCCAGGCCTCTGGTGGCGATTGCTGATTTCGACGTAACTGACGACAATTATCCGAAGGCGCTTGATAGATTAACAGAGTGTTTTGATAAAAAGGCGTTGATGTTCGAGGAACATGTAACGGCGCTGTTTGCTATCCCCAAGGTAGCCAAATCATCTGCGGCTCATCTGAGCCAGGTTCTAGATGGAGTAAATACGCATTTGAGTGCGATGCTGTCGCTTGGTGACCACAATGATATTGCGAATGCCATGCTAATCCATATGGTGATTGAGAGGGTGGACGAAGATTCACAAGTGAAATGGGAAGAAGCAGTTGATTACACTAAGCTGTCATCATGGGATGAAGGTTCTGCTGTTTTGATGAAACGGTGTCAGAATCTTGAGGCTCGTGAATCAAAATTGTGTCCAGTGGATACAAAGCCTACAAATAATCAACGTGATTATAAAAATAAGCGATTTAATAAGACATCGCTGTCTGTGACTAGGTCATCATGTACGATCTGCCATGGCAGTGGCCACGAGTTGCCAGATTGTATGAAATTTAAAAATTTAGCTGTTAAAGATCGGTCTAACGCTGAACGTAAAGCAAAAGTGTGCTTTAGATGTCTAAAAGGTGGACATTTATACAGAGATTGCTCTGCAAGCTTCTCTCCCAAAGGCTACAGCTTAAAAAGACATCATGTAAGCTGGATGCCAGTGGTGTTGGTGATGTTGAAACATCTATTAGAAAGCAGACAGTAGCTACGATTGGGTCAAGGCTAAATAATTATGAGGTTAGTCTTGAATTTTATGTTTTACAGAAAATTACTAGCTAAAAACCAGATCAATATTTTGATGTTTCTGGTTGGAATCTACCCAAAAATATACATCTAGCGGATCCATTATTTAATAAGCCAGCAAGGGTGGATATTTTAATTGGAGCAGAAGTATTTTTTGATATACTGTCTGTGGGTAAAATTCATCTTGAAGATTCACTACCTAGACTTCAGAAAACAGTACTAGGCTGGATAATTGCTGGCAAGGCCAAAGATTATGTGACCCCAAGTCAAAAAGTGACCAATTTATTGATTAATGATGAATCAAATGAAGATAAATTAAACGTTTTTATTGAAAAATTCTGGGAAATGGAGCAGATTTCTCTAAAATCAAAATTTCTTACTGAGGAAGAAGAAGAATGCGAGCGGATCTTCATAGAAACTAGGGATTCTTCTGGAAGATTTACTACAACCATTTATTATTCCATTCAAATCATCAGTGAAGGAGCTGGGTGGTTCATACAATGCTGCTGAACGTAGATTGCTGTCGCTAGAGCGCAGGCTTAGCCGAGATGCGGTCACTAGAGAAGCGTACAACACATTTATGCATGAATACCTATCCCTAGGTCACATGACGGTCGTCGAAAAAGCTGATATTGGTAAAATAAAGTATTTTACGCCTCACCAGCATGTGCTGCGGCCAGAGTCAACGAGTACCAAGCTTCGAGTTGTGTTCGATTGCAGTTGTAAGACAGATAGTGGGAGAAGATTATGCCGTTGAATATCCGATGGGTTCAAAGAAGATTTTATCCGATTTCTATATGGATGATTTGATCAGTGGATCAAATGATGAAAACGAAATTTTTGAAATTTATAAACAGGTTTCCAAAATATTAGATACTGCTAAATTCACTTTAAGAAAATGGTTCTCAAATAGTGAAACATTCCTTAATTTTGTACCGGATTCTGATAAAGAAAAAACTCTTCCATTAAATGATGAAGAAATTATAAAAACTCTTGGCATCACCTGGGCTCCAGTGGAAGATACTTTTCGGTATATATGGCCGTATTTAGATGACGATAAAGCAGTAACAAAAAGAATAGTGTTGGCAGAATTATCAAAGCTGGGGCTCAAACCGTTGGTCTTATAAGTCCATTAATAGTTAAGGCAAAGATTTTTATGCATTGGGATGAGTCCTACCGATGAATTTACATTGCCTATGGATGGAATTCCGCAAGAAATTGAAAGAGGTTGAAAATATAAGCGTGCCTCAAATTGGAATACTTTTGTTGCCAACAGGGTGTCGTCAATTCTAGAAGAAACTAAAGATTGCATATGGCGTCATGTCCCCTCCAAATCCAACGCAGCGGATATAATATCATGAGGTGCGTATGCGAATGAATTGCTGGATTCGTTTTGATTTACAGGGCCTAGTTTCTTAAAGAAAACATGTGATGCGTGGCCAGCAAATAAATCAAGGAAGAAACGAGCTGATGTAGATGAAGAGAGAAGTACTAGTGCTACTACATTGCTTATAAAATCTAATGCCAACAATTTTCCCCATGAAAAATCTAGAGAAGAAGAAGGTACAAAGTAGAGTATTCAAAAACCGAAACCGAAAACCGGTTTACCGGTTTTTTGAACATTCAAAAACCGACCAGTTTCGAATATTTCATATTTTCGAAGTATTCGACAAGCCGGGTTTTTTATATCGAATAACCGAGTTTTTAAAATTACCTTCTTTTATATAATACATATACAATTATATAAAAATGTTCGGCTTTTATGTAATCTTTCTAGATTTTTATTTTGAACACTTCCTTATTACGTTTTTATATGTAAGCTAAACACAGCTTCATTTAAAATATCCATCATTTTGATTTATATTTTCTTGTGCATATTAACAAAAAATTAAATATACATTTTGTTTAAATGTCCATAGTTTTTAAAAATACTAAGGTAAGCAAAAATTGTATATAAATTAATAAATAATTTAAAGTTTTTTCTATTTTATTAGAAATGAGCAGAGTTTGGAAATATTTTACAAAAAATGACAACAAGTCTCAAACAGCAAGATGCACGAAATGACCAAAAATTTTGAGCTGCCGGACTGATAAATCACCTTCGCAATGTTCATAAAATTGAACTGCCAAGCAAATCTGCAGACAAAGAGGCGGAATCATCAAATGTTGAAAAAATTCCATTTACCAAGTTGCCGGTTAAAAAAAAACAATGATATCGCTGAAATTTTAGATAGATGCGTTTCGGAAGATGGTATGTCGGTAAGAGCCGTAAAAAATTCGAAAATAATAATAGATTATTTAAAAATGAAAGCACTTAAAATGCCAGAAAGTGAAAATACAATTTGGAGTTTGATTGAACAGTTTTATAAAACTAAAAAATTAGAAGCTATTGACAATTTTAAAGTAATTAAAGAACAAAATGGGATATTTTCAATAATAATTGATGAGTGGAGTGACAACACAAATATAAAATATATTAATGTCTCATTACGGTCATATAATCCTACAAAACGTACACATGAAGTGTTCAACTTGGGTTTGGAGGAAATTAAAATTCGTGGTACGGCAGTAAATATTGAATATTTAGTAAAACAAAAACTGGATGAATTTAACTTGTCACTTGAAACCGATGTCGTCGCTTCTACGCTGCATGAATCATGCCATCCATTTGTGCGTAGTAGATGTTATCTACTCTAAAAAAGGTTCTACTGAGGAAATTGATGACAGCGAAGAAGAGATGTTAGAAGATGACGGAAATAAAAATAGCGAGGAAGAATTTGAAATTGGCATTGACATAGATGCTTCTCTTAATGTCTGTTCCGAAGTGGGAGATGTTGTTGCAAAATTACGCAAATATGTAAAGATTTTCAATAAATCGAATGAAAAACTAAAAAGGCTCCAATATTTTGTTAAAAACCAAGACGGAAAAGAGTTAAAGTTAATATCCGATGTTAAACACAGATGGAATTCATTATCAAAAATGATTGAAATTTTTTTAAGAATATGGAAATGTGTTAATCATGCTTTGCTAGACTTTTCTTTAATACTTTTCTCATCTATAGAAATCGAAGCTCTTGAAAATCTATGGAAAACTTTGCAACCTTTGGAAATAGCTATAAAAGAGTTATCTAAGGATTCTGTAACACTTATAGAGGGCGAAGCAATTAACAAATTCTTATTCAACAACTTAAGCAAAATTAACACACAATACGCACAAGAATTGTGTAACAGGCTTATGACAAGACTTAATGAACGCAGAATAAAAGTAGTAAACACCCTTATAGTTTACTTAAGTTCAGGAAAGCACCCAGCTAATGACCACATTTTGAAATACTCCACCAAAGCAGAATCCAAAGAGTTTGCTGTGGAATTATATAATCGTTTATTTCCATGCAATGAGCCGGATGAAGAATTAGTAGATTCTGATGTTGATTTAAGTTTTGAAATTGATAATTCTACAAGTCTAATCCAAAAAAAAAATCCAAAAAAGACCAGAAAACAGCAGTCATCATTATATGATGATTTTATATACCTGGATAAATGCAACAAAAGAACGGAAAAGCTGGAAATCTTATATTATTGCCTTTTAACAATCTGTCCAACTTCAACATTCAGCGAGCGGCTTTTTTCAACATCAAGTTTTATTAAAAACAAACAAAAAAATCGCTTAAAAGCTCATCATTTAAATTGCATACTATTTTTAAAGTATTATTTTAGAAAAAACTAAGTTTTGCAATAAGTTTTTGTACTTGATACCGATCTCTTTTTGTTATTTTTTGTTAATTTTTTATAGAAAATGAATTTTGAAAATTTTTGTTATAAAAATGATTTTAAAACTAAAAATTTCTTGAAATGTGTTTCATTTTCTTCTTTATAAATTATAATATAAAACCATATACATTTCATAAATGTATTATAAATATTGAATTCCTTGTTAATATATAAAAAAAATATAAAATAAAATAAGTGAAACGGTTAACCGGTTTTTTTATACAAAACCGTATTCGAAACCGGTTTTTTTAAAAATTGCAATTTTTCGAATTATTCGAAAACCGGTTTTTTGAATACTCTAGTACAAAACAATCGTTCATCTAGTGGATAGAGACTTATAGAGATTTTGAAAAGCTGCAAAAAATCTTTGTTTGCCTGTTAAGCTTTCGTAATCGTACAAAGGAAATTAGAGAAAAATTAGATGAAGCGCTAATTCGAATAGTATTATTTTCGTGAAGAAATTGCCTTGCTGTTAAAAAATCGTGAATCGCCTGCAACAAGTAAATACAAAAGCCTCAGTCTTTTTATAGAAAGTCAACATGGTGTACCCTTGCTTCGTGTTGGTGGCCGACTGGCGAATTCGGACGCAAAACATCAAATTGTCCTGCCGAATAATTCAGAAACAGTTAAAAGTTATATAAGATTTCTTCATATGAAATATTTGCATGCTGGTACTCAAGCCTTAATGGCTACCATCAGTGTCAATGCTTTAGATGTCATCCAAGAGTTAGCAACCAAATTATGGGTGACCTGCCGCATTCAAGAGTAGCCGTTGCGACGCCATTTACTGTTGCTGGTGTGGATTTCTGTGAGGATTCTGTGAGGTTGTCGTACAACAAAAAGCTACACTGCTGTTTTTATATGTTTTAGCACAAAGGCTATACATATGGAGGTGGTCTCTGATTTGACTGCTAATGCCTTCTTGGCATCATTAAAAAGATTTGTGGATCGTCAAGGTCTATGCACGCAGCTGTTCTGTTATAATCCTAAAACTTCCTAGGCACCCGCAGAGAGCTAGAAGAAGACGTTTTTTGATCAACAGGTGCAAGGTAAAATATCAAAATATTGTACTGCTAACAATATTCAGTTTTGCCATATTCCACTGTGATCCCCCCACTTTGGAGGATTATGGGAAGCGGCTGTAAAATCAGCTAAATACCATTTAGCTAGAATTTTGGGTCAATCGTATTT